GGAGGGAGGGAGGGATGGAGGGGCTAGCCTCGTCTGTTTAAGCACATTTTTGACTTCATTGTAACCCTAACCCTAACTCTAACCCTAACACTCTCTTTTTCTCACCTGCTCCCGCAAATAGGTCCGCGCCAACATGAAACCAATGAAAGAAGCCCCAGTGGCGCAGACTGTGGAAGAGAGCGCCCCTTCCCACACCCCTCCAAACAGAATGCCGCTCGACAACCCCAGCACCTTTAGGTACGGGGAGGAGGCAATTAGAAAAGAACACATGAGCCCCGGGGCTAGCGCCTCGACCGCAAGGAAGTTAGAGAGTGGTCCGCCCTCCGCCCTCCCCTCTCCTGTAGCTACTCCCCTGCCCGCTTCTAATTTTTCCTCCTTCCATCCCTCCCTTCCTCACCAGGGCCAAGCCGTCCAGGCAGAGGTTCTTGGCCACCACCCACAGAGAAAAAAAAATCAGAAGCCTCTCAGCCTTCCCCATCCCCTCTACCATGTCTAAGACACTCGTCAATTTGCCCGTCACTCCCGCATCCGCGAGTATGTCCAGGCCCATCATCGACATGACGGCCGCGCGTCCACCCAGCCTATGAGGGAGGAGGTCAGGGAGGGCGGGCGGGCGGATTGAGACGATGGTGGATCTTAATGAGAGGATGGGGACCAAGGGCCAGAGCAAGGGGGAAAAGAGAGGTGGGCGATCGGAGGAAGGCACCGAACCATGACACAGTACATGACGCCTTATTCTATTCTCTTTGTCCAGTTCTTCCTTCACTTCTTCCTCCCTCCTTTAATCCCTCTCTCCCTCCCTCCCTCCCTCTCTCCCTCCTTCCCTCCCTCCGCACCGTGCCACAGCCGTGACGACAGCTACCAGTAAGGCTGTAGCGACCACGGCATTCTTCACCTCCTCTTTTTTACCTCCGGTCGGGTCCAGTCCTTTTGCTGAGATGTGTTTATTGCCAAGGTGAAGCAGGTGAGTTTCGGGAAATCACAAAAGCGCCCTCATTACTATGTCTGCGCGTACACTTCGCTCGACACCCTTGTTCTAAAAGGTGCGAAGACATTCTTGCTGCGAATTTTTGTTCCATTTTATTGTTCCTATAGCCCTCTCTTTCGCGTTCCATTGCCATTTCCTCGTACCTACCCATTCGAGCACGTGTGAGGCGGTCTCTTCGTCTCGTGAGCATACCCACAGGTTTTAAGAAGCTTCGACTGATCCCTCTCCTGGCCTTCCACAACTCCATTTCATCCTCTTTCCATTGTGCGTGCTTTTGTCGTGGGGAATCGCGCATTTTCATCTTCAAAGGTCGGGGGAACCGGGAGGGAACTGAGGTCCGCATGACAGGAGGTGGAACGAAGAGGAGGGAGGGTGGAGGGAGGGGAAGACAATACGAGGAGGGTCCAGGTGCCTGGCCAGCGTGGCAGTAGAGGCTCATCGTGAAATTATGTATTTACTCACGTTCTTTCCCTGTATAAACAAAGGGAAAAGGGGGAAAGGATTACAATTTTCGCAGACGACGGAAGCCTGGTTGATGTCGCATCCGATTAAGATCGAGAGGGGCTAGAATACGTCAAGCGCATTCCGTGCGCCCGTGAACCTTCCCATTCAAACAAATTAGCGTCCCACGCAGAGGCACCAGCAGCAAGTAAGCATGGAGAATGATCAAATGCACGGTTCGGGTGATGCAAGTCTATGTAAGGGGGCGTCACGACAGGAGCCGATGAGTCGTCAACGGCTGCTGCTAGTAAGCTACGGCAACGTTGGGAATTTCTTCGCCTGAAATTTTCCCTTCTTGACCTCACACAACCCTTTCCTTCGTGTCAGGGATACAACATGCCTGTCGAATGGGGCGTTCGTGGCGTCTGCTTCGTGGCCAAAGCCACCTCTTCGTTTTATCATACGGAGTGTCTGCTGGCTACAAGATTTTAACCTCCCCATCTGTTTACCAACACGAGTATCCATTGACTTAACTATGGATGGCATAAAGCGGTGCAATCTAGAGCCAACGCAGCCCTCATTGTCGTTTCCGCTCGATGCTTCCTTCTCTATCTGCGTGAAAGAATCGTCGGCGCCATTCTCTTCCCCGCTTTTTCTGAGCTTGTCCTACTACTTTCCTTCTACCGTCACCGCCACCTCTTTCTCGTCTTCATCATGCTGGCTCACTGATGAGGAAGTGGAGGCGCCATTTGGCCTTCCTCCCTCATCTCAAGCGCTCGCTTCATTCATCGCGGTCCCACAAAGGGGGAAAGAATCGTATAGGTTGTGGAATCCTGCCATGGACATGTGCCTGGAGTATTTGGGAATAGACAGACAAAAACATGTAAAATATTATCTAAGAGGCCAGAAGATTAGAGATCATTCGAAAAGAAAGGTCAATGGAGGGCCTGGGCACCTAGGGGTGAATAGAGTAGGAAGCTGGGATCCAAATGAAGAGGAAAGACAGGGAGACGGCGTTGCGCATACAGGGGCAAGTGGAGGGTGGAGATGGTGCCAAGAAGGGCGGTTGGCATGGGTGGATCGGGAGGGGCGGGAGGTGGGGGTCTTGGGGTGGGACCCGGCAGAGAGGAGGTGGGCGCTTCGAGGGAACCAGGACGGGCAGGAGGAGGGAAGAGAGAGAGGCACAGAGGAGAGGACAGCAAGGAAAAAGGAGGAGAAAGAGCCACAATTCCTCGATGAATTGTCCTTGCATCGGCACGAGTGGATGGGTAAGACCATGGGGCAGCGAGGTGCTTTGGGGAGGGGGGTCGTTGCTTTGATTCCTGGTCTCCATCAAAGCAGGCATCTAGGCGGTGCAGGGCCTCCTCTCCACGTTCCTGCCCTTCACTGGACCTATTCTTTGTTATCGTACGATATTTTACAGGCCACGATTTTCAAGGGCCGTTCAAGGTTGTCTGTGCCTCGTCCTTGCGATGCATGTGTGACTGCGACAGTAGTGACAAGGTATCTCCCTCTCTCCCTCCCTCCCGCCTTCCCTCCAGCCTTCCCTCCCATTCGTCCTCACATCACGTTTGCTCTTTTCCCCTCTTAGGTCCTCTCCTTATGTCGACGTCATCTCTCTGACGATAAGAAGTGGCTTTACCAACCGCAGTCACAGCGGCTGATCGAAGCCCGAAGCCGATCTCCGCTCGTGCTCCATGGAGGGATGATACAAGGAGGAAGGGGCAGAGAGGGGGAAGAAGCGCAACAGGAGTTGGTGGAGAAGAGTTTGCCAGCCGCCGCATCAAGAAAATCGTTTAGCTGTTCGCAAATTTCCACCTCTTCCTCCTCCCCCTCCTCCATCCCTTCCTCCTCCCCCTCCTCCTCCCCCCTTCGCCTCGTCTACTGCCCCGCTTCTTGCTTTTTTACCCATCCTGCTACCTTTACCGTCCTCGCTTGCGCCGAGAATTCTGATGAGTGGAGCCTCCCTCTCCGCCTCACACGCCCGCGTTCGGGTCTCTCAGAGGAGGATCGACAAGAGCGGCTGCGACAGGTGGAGGAGGAGGGAGGGAGGGAGGGCTAGGGTGAGGGATGGTGGAAGGGACGGTGGGAAGGAGGAAAGGAGGAAGGCGAGGAGATTGGGAGTGTCTCCAGAGTATTTGATTAATGGTTCTGACCGTGCCATATGAATTCACAGGTCTGGATCCCAGAGCGTCACACCCTCCCCTACCCCTCCACCCTTACCTCCTCCTCCTCCTCCCTGTCCTCCTGCTCCG